ATTTTCAACATTGGTGATTGCTTCAATTTTTGGGCAACTACAATACAGTGAAATCTTGACTTTTTTTAACCTTTGCAAGGGAAATGAAATTACTTGGTTCGAAATATTGGAAAAAATTGACCAGGGTTCGCAAATAGGCCAAATTTGGCGTATTTTACGCCAAAATTGTTCAGACAACTCCACTGATGTTATTTAGGGAGTCACTTCGACTCCAGAAATTTTCGATGACAACAGGGAGCCACTTCTACTCCAGAAATTTTCGGTAACAAACACAGTTTTGTCCTTACCTTTTTCGCAACTGAATACAATTTACGTTAATTGTAAATGTTGTAAACCTTAATTAAATCATCGAAATTAAAGAATTATACTGCACGACAAAACAGGAAGAGGGTAAATTACGATCAAAGTTTACTCGATGACCGCCATCATGGATAATTTGAGCTTTCCAGGTCAGCAGACCGCCACAGCTACTTCGTGTATCCCTCACCATAGTGTATACATGCCAGGACCACGTGCTGGAAAGTCTGAAAATGGCTTTTTTCGTTGTGATACTTGACTCCAAGTATTCCCAAATTACTCCAAAATTTGTAAAGCAGAAGTCACATCGACTCCACTCATCAATAAAATTTGCAAACCCTGATTGACAGTGGCATTTAACATTGAATGACACCTGATTATGGAGCAAGGAGTCTGAAGACAACAACAGTCTTAACACTCTTACAGGTTAATGTATGTACTGTCTTTATTTACAAACAAAATGTATATGTTGTGTAAATTAGCAAAACAACTACCAGTACTAGATAGATAAAAACAGTGTGTGCAGGGTTCTCAATAGATTTTTAAGTAGGAGGTGATTACTGATAAAGTAGGAGGCTCTTCAGCAAAGCCAGAGGTTTCAAAACAAAGCAAAGAAAAGCGACTTAAACACAAAGTAAGCGGCTATAAATCCCAAAGTAAGCGGCGATCAATCGCCGGGTGCCGCCTTCTATTGAGAACCCTGTGTGTGTTTTGCACAGACTTTACAGCATATACATGTACAGCATTTTCTTCCATTTACTGTACGATTAGTTTTTTTTAAAGCCCAAAGTGAGGAAAAGAAAACAGTAGTAGTTCACTCAGCTAAAATAATAGAGGAAATCAATTTTTTCCTCTATTTAATTCAGAAACTCTTCTTTAAGATATCTGAAATTAGTATATACACACTCAGTGATCTTGGTGATTTAAGCAATCTGATTGGTTCGCTATCTCGGACTATTCAACAATATTCACCTCCTAGCGAGTGGATAATGTGTGAGCTCGGTGTTTTTCCCGTTTTTTTTAGAGAACGATCTTTTAAAAGTCGACAAAATCCTAGGGCTGACTTTTTTTAAGGCAAGAAAAGACTTGGAAGGATTCAATACGGCGTTTTTCAATTTACTGTAGCAGGAGTTATGTGCTCGATGGATTGTTTACAACTCCCGTGTATTCGCGTAGAAGAAGCCGTTTCGTGAACTCAGCGTTTTCTAAGAAGAAAATTTTGGCTCAAAAATCGAAGTTTAGTTATGACAAACAAATTTAAAAGGAAATGTTTGCAGAAATTCTACATTTCAAGTAAACAGGAAAAAGAATGATACAGGAAGACGACCTCTTACCTCGAGCAACCGAGCCGCCATTTTTGTCAGCACTTCATGCAAAGAACGACACAACATGCCCTTTTGGCTATAAACTTGGCGAGTCAACAGAAAACAACACAGCTCTACTTTTTTTCTCAGGTAAGGAAACAGTTCAAACTTTTAGCGATTCCATTGAAGCCGTTACGCTGTTGTTTGCGAAATGAGTAAACTTGTGAATTGCCATGTTTGAAAATTCTGCAAAGATCTATTTTTAAACTTACGCGTGATTTGATCTGTCAATCAAATCCTACTTTTGAATGGTTTCCTTTCTGATTTTGTTGAGATCACTTCGTGTGTATATACTAAAACAATTATTCTTCTCAATCTCGGTGAATAGTGGCTTTGGGAATTTTTACCTCGCCGCTTTCGCGGCTCGGTAAATATTTTGCCACTATTCACCTCGATTTCAAAGAATAATTGTTAATTATTCTTGATCTGTGTTGAGTGTGAAACACAACTCGAGTGTCTGGTGATGAAGCGCAAGGGAAAAATAATATAATAATAAGGTCTTTATTATGTTTTAAGCAAAAAATACATGCTAAAAAGTATTGCTACTTTAAGCCAATAAGTAAAGATATTTTTCAAAGGCTGGGTATTAAACGTAGAGAGTTGGCTGCTAGGAACTCAGAGGAACACAGAACTTTCTTTTTGTTCTAGGAAGGGAAGCTTGTTACAAAGGATGGCTGGGCATGCTGGAGATCCACTCTTGAATAGTGGGCAGTCTGCCTCTTCTAAGACATTATATATGTTAATTTGATAAAATATGAATTTGCATTTAACCCTATTTAGACATGGCTGTTTTTTTTGCTTGTTTTGAGGAGGGAGGGGTGGGGAGGGTGTTGGCCCAC